GAATTTTCAACACTGCGGACAGCTGAGTCAAAATCTCGATGTATTACCCTCGGAATCGAGATGGGCGACCCGGCGGCAGGCGCGAGCGAGTTTAAACTCTCGTACAAATTAAACGAACCTGCGTAAAGTTTACTAATTACTCGGTTCCTTCGTTTTCGCGTGGACGGCGTGCTTAGAAGAAGCCGCAACACATTAAATTACTTCATTTCGCGGGCCGTCGGGATTTTGCGCGAGAAATTACCGCGGCACCGTTTCTCGCGCGCGCACTGAAAAAAACAAGAAGCGAGGGGAAAAAAATTAAAAGAAAAGAGGATCTCAAAAAACGAGGGACGGTGAACCACGCGTAACGACATCCTCGACGCTCGATTTGCAGTTAGACCGGTGCTTTTCCTTTGGATCCGGAACGCTTTTCCGCTTCGAAATATCTTGGGCGATTTCGCGGCCTCGTTAACCGCGCTAGATGAGGAACCGGGCGAGGGGGAGATCGTTAAGCTCTGTGCGGATTTTTGTGCGTTAACCTAATGCCTGACAATTTCCGGTTCACGGCGCGCAGTAAATATAAACACGAAATTACCATCCCTTCTGTTCGAGGGTTCGCCCGTCGGACCGGTGCGCGACGCGAAGGAAATTCGGGGGTGGGAAACGAGCCGCGACTACTCTCGTTAAAAGCATACGACCCGCGGTTAACTTACCGCGGCAACGAACAGTTACAATCTCTGCTGAGATTGCATCTCGTTAAACCGAATGAATAATAACTTAAAACAGCGATGAGCGACCCTTTTTCTCTCCTTTTATCGTAAAATCTATTGTTTTCGTACTTCATGCAATATAAAATCGTACAACCTTCTCTAAACATGTTTCACGTGCTATTGTAGTCTTTCTGTTACATTCATTTTAACTTTTAACTAACTAATTATACAATTGTACGATTTTATTTGACGTCTACTGCATAAAAAATGTCATTTTATTAAACAAACACTTTACACTAACACAAATAGTCAAATTTTTTTAAGCACTGAACGATATAAAGGTTCTTGTAGTTGCAATTGCAATACGACAGAACAGAGATTTATTACCGGTGCATCTTTCGATAGCTACGAATAATTCATTTAATTTTATGATCACGCGAATTCTTTGACGATTACCGGAAATTCGTTGAACGGACTTGATAAATAATTTGTATCGGTGAATTTTCCGCGGCGGGGGCCGATTGTCTCTTCACCCTCGAGCGGTTCGAGCACGACAAAGGGCTTTCCGTGAAATCTCCGAGGTGGGTACCTACGCGAAAGCGTTTCTTTGTCGAGCACTCGAGAGCTACGAGGGGACATCTGTTATTTTCCGAGATTGTATCACTTTCAATGAGCAAGATGCCTCTCGTCTCTTTTTCCTTCCCCGCGACGCAACGTGCGCGTAGAAATAATAAAGGCGGACAGGTGTTCGTCGTGTACCGGTGCGCGCCATCGCGATCCCTAATTCGAGCGGCGATGGCATAAATTATTCATAAACGGGGGAGGAAATTTTGTTTTATTCGTTCGAAATATATGTATTATACATATACATATAAGCTCGCGGGCGGTCCCGAAATTTTTGGAAGTATGATGAGATGAAAATATCGCCGGCGGGAGCTCAATCAACGGTGGGAACGCGACCTGACGGAACTTCGAGTCTGTGATTTATTATAAGCTGCGTTTCTCACGAGATTATACCAAAGTTTCAGACGTGATAAACAATTTAAGCAGATCTCAACACTTATTGTTTAAGTCTACAGACCTTTATGCGAAATAAAACATTTACGATGTGAATTTTCTTTCATTCTTCAAACACAACAGTATACATTCACTTCGGAAATTTTATGAGTTCGAACTGAAATTTATCCACGTAATGCTAATATTTTAACGCAGATACGAAATATCACTTTCCTTATTTCACAAGTGCACGTTGTAGTTACTGGTTTCATTTATTTTTAGCTACTATGTGTTTAAACTACCTAATTCATAGCATTTCGCTAGTATCACTTGCACTAAAGTTTGCATTATGCCAGGAAATTACTTTTAATTTTTGTAAGGATCACATTGCAATTGTGATAATAGTCTAATGACAGAGCTAATAGCTCGCTGCCCGGACAAAATTCTGGTAAGAAAATGTTTGGTATGAAGCGGTAACGTACGATACTAATTTTCAAGCGGCAATGAATATTAATAATCCATAATCAATAATCAATAATACATATTGAGTCCTGCGAAGGATGACTGCCTCCAGTTACTCATCAATTTTTAAATAATTTTTTTTTTTATCCATCTATTGCTAGTAGATCTGTCTTCAATACGTGGCTTTCAAGCAATCTCGACGAAATGAATACTAATAAGGTGCTGGCTTTTATTCAGGTTTACTTTCGACTAGACGATTCTGCTCATAACTCTAACAATAATGTGAACAAACTTTCTGATTTGTATTATGAAGAACTATGAAAGAAATTGTAAAAGTGCAACAGAACAGTGAATCGTTTTCTACAACAAAATCAAGAATTGCTTGCTTCATCTCTTCAACTTCCTAAATTTGTTAGAAATAAATTGCGTTAATAAAAATTTGTAAAAACTTTTTATTCAACAAAAAACAGACGTAACGACAATACTTTTTTTTATACAAGTCAATCGATCCTTTTATTCTCTTTTGAAAACTAGTGAAGTATCCAGGCCGCAGATTGATTGGTTTAGAAGTTATGGTTTTTGTTGCGGAATCTCATGTACGCAACGCACTGTGGGCCACATTATTTAATTACGCCCAAAAATCCGATGCGGTTCACTTTCAATTGACAGGGACCTTTTTTCCTCTCCCCGTGATCACAATAAGGTATCCAAATGTTAACAGCGTCATTGTGACACGCGCAATTTGTGGCTAAACGGGATGCCGTCGCGCTTTCTGCTCATTACGTCTATCTCGGTTTATTACGGCTTTTTACGACCGCCGGTCGGACGAATTTACGGAAAAAATGTACTCTTGCCGATCCTAAACGAGCAATCAACCATTTTATTAGATTAAGGCGTGAAATGAGATATAGTTACGTTGCCCATTATAAAGGATGCAAAATAACTTGTCCAGAGAATTTACTGTTAATTTTAACTTTATAATAACACTACAAGTGAATCATTGACGTTCCGTATTTACACTTTTTTGTAATACAATTGAAGAAAGAATTGTTAGTATCGATGAATGAAAAAATTTACCAGCAATTGATCACGTTTGGATAAATGTTTGCTACAAGGAATTTTGAATCTAACATAACTGAAATGTTCGTTCTAGTCTTTTGCTATTGAGATTCTATAAGTTAACTTTTGGCCACACGCTGCCGTCGGCGACATTTAGAAGTCATAATTTCGAAAACTAAGAAATATTTTAGAACTTTTTTTTACCATGAGGAGGCATTGCAATGCTAAACAATTTAATTTCCATGAAAGATGTTAGCGTAAAGAGACTATTTTATGTGAAAACCGTTACCGCCGGTACTGAACGTCAATACATTTCACAGAAATCTTACATTTCCTTCATATGTAATAAAGAGATTCGACTTTAAACTATACGATAAACCACGTCAGATATTTCTAGTCCTGCACATGGCATATAAATTCGTGTCACAGTAGACATATCTTTAATTGAATCCTGGACACTTTCGAACTGAGTGGTGCATCCGGAGGGTATCCAAACGGAAATGTATGAACGATGATACCGAGGGAACGAGTGGCACCGCGAAATAGGAAACGTATTTAGTGATAAGACGTACCGTGTCGAGAATGGCCGTGGTCAGGCCGGATCCGGTCACCAGCTAAAAGCACAATCCGCAGATACGTGTCTCCGCGGGATGTTCACAACAACACTTTTCGAACGCAGCTCGACCAGCGCGAAACTATCCGAGCGACTAAAACGAATCGAGATGCGTAGCAATGATATATCGATGGATCTCACTGATCACTGAGAATTTTTCACAGTTTAACGTGCCGTGGCGCGTGCCTCGTACCACCACTGCAGGTCCCGCTGCTAATCGATCTAATCGAGAGGACGATTACTCGACCCTTTCTTAGAGAATCGGCACAGCGAACGATTCGACGGAATTCACGGTAAATACGGTCCGAGTAGCGAGTCCCGTGGAACGACGGAACGCGAAGGAACGGCCGGGTCAGAACCACCGTTCTCTACCATCGGGCGACGACTATACTCGGGGTCGTGTTACGGGCGTCCGCGGTTGTTTATCGTTCGTTATCGCGGCCGATTCCTCGAGCGAAGGAACGTAGACGAGGACAATCGAACGTGAGCGTCGGTGAAGAGGAAAGAAACACGTGCGACTCGAAAACAGGGGTGCAGTGACGCGTCACTGCTGCGGTGCGCGGCGCCCGATTGACCACCAGAGTCTGCCTTCCTTCATGCGAAGATCCCTGCCGCACGATTTCGGCACCCCCACCCATCGGGATCTCTCAACACAGCTCCCCAGTACCCGTGTACACGCTCTCTCTCTCTCTCTCTTGCTCTCTGTCCCTTCCCTCCGCGTCGTACCCTGCTCCTTCTTCCCCTATTTCTCCTTCGCTCCTGTTCGGCTCCCTCTTTCTCTTTCGAACTCGGCGAGGTTGCTGTGCCTCCGGGCAAAGTCGCCGGAACCGAGGTGGCTACGAGACCAGCGTCCCCTTCCGCCTGAACGTGGTTAGGGGTGGAGTCTGTCGCGGCGCCTGGCGTGGTCCTGCCTAGCTATACGTACTCCGCCGCGCGACCGAGGTAGAGCGTGCGAACTAGTGGGGGAGTGAATCAAACGAGCTACGACGACGCGCGGCGTCGAGGCCGAGTTCGACGCCGTTTCACGGACGACGAGGACGCTCGATATGGGCGGCGCTTGACAGAGGCGGCGCCCTTTGTCGTTGGACCGGGGCACGGGACGCCATTGTCCGCTTGGCGCGCTGCCCGCGGCCAGCGGCGTGCGCGACGCGCGGCGTCGCGACGCCACTCTCGCACGCAACGCCGTCGCGGCCGTCGCCGTCAGCCGCCGCCTATTTTCTCTACGATGTCCATCCGACGCCGGACTGCCTCGAATTTCCTAGAGCTAAGGCGACGATCTGTACGTATGCGCGTGTGATTTTGCGTTTTGTGGATACTTGCATGCGAGTGCGTAGGTGTGTGCTCGTGTAAGAACGTGTGTCGCGTTCTTTGCCACTTCTCTCCACGGTTCTCTTTTACCTTCCATGGTTCATACTCCAGTCGCGTACCTGTTTCCTTTTCTCGTATACTATGACACCATTACTATTGCTTTCGACTTTTCCTTTTCACTTCTTAGACCCAGTTTCTAGAACGCAGTAATTGCGATTAGGAATTAACTGCATACAAGCGCCATGTTAATAGTGACTTCTTGTATTCCCCTCCGTCGTAAAACACTTTATAATGGTTGACCTGTTCTACCGTCGGTGTTTCCATTACCTGAAAAGATCAAAAGTATCCGAGTCCCCTATACATATGCGTGTCATTACGATGGAACATTTATCTTACTTTTTATCGCGAACGATACACGGACGTGTACAAATCGCCCGATACGTTCTTATCTCATAACTCTAAACGATGTCAGAAGGAAATGAACAACGTCTACGATTGTTCAGCTTGTCGCGATCGTATCGCGGACATCCTTCTGCCCCGGAACAGGTGGCTTCCAATTACGTTCCAATTACTCGTGTGTTTAATTCTCGTCCGAGGCGCTAACTCGAAAAGCGTACACCTCCCAGAACGAAAAATGGAAGAACCAGGGGAAAAGGAGAAAGGGATCGTTATCACGACAAGCGGCACGTAGCGCCGCGTATAATGGATCAGGGCGCGGTATACACGTATTTCAGTAGGTAATTTCCAACGATTCTTCCTTCCATTCGGCGAGATACTCGACGTGGAAAAAAAGGACTAAATGCGCTCGTTAATTATTTTCGCGACCTAGCTACGCTCTTTCGTGCGTACCCTGGTTTTCTTTGTCAATCGTCGGTCCTGCGTGCCGTTATTCATCGCTGGATGAATGCCCGAATTAATATTAATTTTCATTTATGCGGTGCGCATAAAAGCTTCATTTTCACCTAACCTTCCAACGGGTACCGTCGTACTATTTCTCTTTATTATTAGTATTCGGAAACGCACAAATTCATTTATTGTGGGTAACAGTTTTACTGTGAATTAAATGTCTGAAAGCTACAATTCTCTATTGAACGTCGGGAAGGTTAAGAAAAAAAAATTAGGCGTCTATCTTGCGACTTGCATAGTAGCCTCGAAACGACACATCGTCGGCGAGTAGTTGCCACCTCGTTAAGTGCGGGCTTTTTTCCAACCCTGTTAAAGCCCACCAGCACGGTTATGGTCGCGACGTCGGAGCACTCTTTTCTTTTTGTTGTCCTTAAACAGGCGGAGTTTTAGTTAAAAAGCCTGGCGCGCATAACCCGCAGTCGGCCAGTCTCGCGTACACGTGAATGGTCACACGATACCCCGAAGACCCGAACTTTCCGAAGAAGACGCACACTACCGTCAAGGGCGGACGATCTCACTAGCCGCGCTGCTAAATACGTGTACTCGACCGAGTGTGCAATTAATCACCGATCCGTGGTTAATTGGTGCCGGGGATCGATCGGCTGTGTTCACGGCCCATTCAACGAAAGTTCCGTCACACCGGCCCGTTGTCCTGAGACGGTATTCCGATGCTAAGAAGAAAGTGCTAATAACAACAATTAAGACAATTTTCATACGAGAATACAATTAATTGATCTCTTAAATACGATTGTAATAGTTTGTATTATGTATCATCGTATCGCGTTACTGCAGACACCTCCTATGTATAATGTATAATAAATTATAATTCACTTGACTCATACCTAAACCGCAATACCAGCTAATAATACTGAATAGGCATTTATACTAGACAGCAATTGTGATATCGATCACAATTGATGGCAATTGATGTTGAACAGGCTACGACCGAGACTGAACGGACTGGGTGTCGGAAATCAAGCACCCGATGTCTTTTTAATAGAGACCGAGGATCGACCTGCCTGAGAATGGATCAAATTTCACAGATCTGGTAAAGGTACCTAACGTTTGAAGCCATGCATTACCTTCCTAGTAAACATTTCCTCGTCTCGTTTAAAACGAACTAAGGTAAATGTCTTTTACTCGGTTAAGCATGATTTCGCTCTCTACCGAACACAACTTTCTCGTGTTCTTAATTTCCATGTAATTCTCCTCCTCATTTTTCCTAAAATCATGCATTTTTATGAATTTTAAAAATCGCTATTATTTGGAAACGGTACGTGATAGAACATTTTTGCTTCTAAACTAGTTTTCATGAATAACTGTATAAGTTACGTAGAATCGTCAAGTATTTATTTTAGTAATGTAAGTCTAAGTTATTAACGTAGAATATTCATAAATTAATACTTTTAATTAATAGATTAATAGGTACAATTTTTTCGAGTCAAAATATTGACGACAAATTAAAATACTGTACATGTTGTTGTTCACATTTTTGTATTAAAATAAACGATTATTACAATTTAATGTTGCCATTATTATGAAATTACACAATTTCTAAACACTATCCGAACCTTTTAGTACATTAAGAATTTCTTTGTGTCGTTTCAAATCCTTAATTTCGTAGTCACGTACTTTTTAATAAAAACCATAGTAACGCTACAAAAGCACTAAATGTGACAGTTCCGTACTTCAATAATTTTCTACAAACCAATTGAGCCTCATAGTGTACATTAGGTCATGGAATCACACATAACAATGTCGAAAAATATTAAAAACACTTTTTGTCATATTTATTCTGTTTTTACGTTACGTGCTTGCTACTGAATTATTTTCCATTGATTGATTTTGTAGACAGAAGTACTGATAGGACTTATGCGCGTAAGAGCGAAAGAGATGAAAAACTAAAGAAGATAGTCGAACCATTACCGGATAGGGATCCTTAAATCTATTACCGGACAACCAGATTATGCGACAGATATACTTGTGAAATTTTTTTGCAATATCTCGACGTTTGAGTGACGTTTCTCATTTATTTCAGTCGTTGATCTCACAATTAAAAATTCACTTCACGCGGCCCTCTCTATTCTACACAATAAAACCGCGAACGCAACCGTTCGTTGAACAAACAAAGTAAACTCTTGCAAGTGTATCACTTTACGAATCTATTCTAACAATAGCACAAAGAGTACCGTAATTGCCTTTTCCGTTTCTTCCCTTCTTCTGAAAGTAATTTGTTTCCGAGAATCGATAATCTTCGGCTTGTAGAAACGGGCTTTGCCTTTTTAACGGAATACCTATCTTAGGCAAAGTACTTACCGTTTCACGAAAAATAGTCCTTGTTAACAGGTTATGGAATCCTAAGTCCTATTCACCACCGAAGTTCGGAGACTGGGAAAATTTGGAGATGCTAAACAGATTTAATCCTGTAGTTGGCTGGAGATTATTGTTCTGTCCTCTCTTATTTTAACTTTGTAATATACAGGATGTGGCTAGATTGGTAATACAACCGAGCAAAGGGTGATAATACATGTAAAAATAATTCGAGAGATAGGACAAACATTTTTTCATTTGGCGATTCGTTTTTGAAAAAATCTAGTTTGAAAATTCTATCCAGTATGGACAAAACATTTATTAATTTGATAGACATTACTAACATTAATTGCATAACATTATTGAATAAACTATTTAATTGATGCAACGTTTATAAAAATTAAATTAAAAAAAAAGTAATAAACTGTTCAAAGTGACATCTTCGTCGACGTTAGATAGAATGAACAGAATAAAAGTAGAACATCGCACGGTTGAAGATGAAATCGGAACATTAGAGAAGTTAACATTACAATGTGTAAGCGGAAGGAAACTTGAATAGCGAATAATGAATTGGAGAGACAGTCCAGTGCACACGTACTGAATAGAATTTTCAAACTTGATTTCATCGAAAACGAAACCTCAAACGAAAAAATATTATTCTCTTTCTTCGACTTATTTTCACATATTTCTCTCTGTATCTCATATTTTCGTAATATGCAAAATTATTATTAAATCATACTGAAAATAAAACTTTCCTTTATTATATTAATTGATCTACTCTAAGACTACTTTAAAAATCTCTTTAAAAAAAATGTTGAAAATAATAATGATATTCGAAAGCAAGGAATAATTCAGCGAAAGTGCAAGTCCCCAATTTTCCGGCCGATTTGGAACAGATTGATCGCTTGGTCTCGTGCGACAAATTAACAGCAGGTGAGAAGCGAAGGGCTTCGTTTAGACTTAAATCTGTTAATGAAACGGAACGGGACAGAGTGGAGCGGAACGATCGTTGGTGTTTGTATTGGTCGGATTAGATGGCTTCCGTGAAATGCGGGACAGTCATATCGTTGTCAGAATTTCGACTCGGCACTTTCGTCACGCCCCTCGTGTACCTTTCGGCTTATCCAGCGCGTACAATTGGATTTATCAGGTTAAAGTCGAAACCGACGTGCGTTAGTCCGCGGCGCGAACGCCGATGACAAGTTTACTGTTCGGACGTCGACTGCTCCCCGCGAAAAACGAATGTCAAACATCGGCTTCGGCAGATAGACTATCGCTATGCGAAAATTCCCAGCGTTTCGCTTGACCTCGCTGGAAAATCCGAAATCGTGTTGAATCGATACTCCAATCGACTCCACGTAATTTTTACTCTCGTAAATCAATTATGTATTAGCTGTAGGAATGAATTCGGTGACATTTTAAGATAAATTTAGTATTTATTTATAAAGCAATTTGTTGTTCTTCGAAATAGTCTTCATTATTTTCGATAACTCTCCATCCATCTTTCTAAATAATTTCTACACCTAATACAATTATCTTCATGACTGATCTGTGCATTCGATTGTTAAACACGTCATTATATCAATATCTACTGCCCGTTAGATAGTATCCTCGTGGAAAACATTATGACAGGATAGAAATAGCATGGAGCATAGTATAAAAATATCGGAGATACAACGAACAAAGCATTCGTTTTCAACTATCTGAAAAGCAGAGTATCTAAACATCTGTGAAGGTTCATAGCGGAGACAAGTTCCGTTACATCCAGCGGAAGAATAGTCGACGTAAAACAAAAACCTGATCCAGCCGGTGAGTCGTATTTCTCGTGGGATTTGCCGCGTTGTTTTGGGTGAAATTCATGTGCTCTCGAGCGTCGCGAGCGTATCCTAATAATTGAGGAACGCGGCTGCCATTTAATGCCGGTTCTCCGGATATACAAATATAAACAGTCGAAAGATACGCATTTTTCCGGGGGATCCGTTTCACGGTCGCGCGACCGCAAATGGGAAACGTGGTTGTACCAACCGACTGTTACCGACTAGACGAATTTCATATTCCACGGTATTATTTGAACGATTAACGCGAATGGAAAAGCCTCGGCGCGGGCTGCCGGGGCCCAGCTCGTATTGTTGGCAACATTTTCAACCGAGGCATTTACAATTCTCTCTTTATTGCCTTTCGGCTTATCCGGGATTGTGCCGGGGCCGCGAGCGAGCCGCGTTTCGTTCTAATAATAACCATTAAGTTAACGAACTGCAACGCGGTTGTTTGAACACCGCTGGACACGGGGATTAACGTGCCATTAATAAGATTATCCGCGTAAACAATAGATTGCCAGTTTCTGGCCTACGGCCATCCGATTCCGCCGCGCCGCACCGGATGTAATAATAATCCATGCCCGTTGTGCCATTCGCGGTTTATTGAAAAATTCGATACGCTCCCCCGAAAGATCGGATGTGTCACGACTCGTGATGAGGTAAACGGGCACAAAGGCGAATACGGTATTTGTATGTTAGCAAACATCTAAATACGGATTAGGCATATTTACGTATACAGTCATTTGTTGAAAGAAATCATTTAGAAAATGACCCTTCTTGATTGCTCGAATGGACTCAATAGGAAAAATTATGGAGGAAATTTACTAAAAAGTTTTATCCAAAATGCCTTTGCTAAAAGTAGTAAACATTATTCATGAATGACAGTATAAGAATGGACTATATTAACACTTTCTTCACAATTTTATTAAAAGTAATTCAGTTAGTTTGTACTTCAGAGTACCGTAATAAAATTCCATAAAAATAGACACGTCCTTAAAGAAATTGTCTAATCGTGAGAATAAATACTTTTTGTACTTCCATGAAGGGGTAAAAGCCTGAATGATGTAAGTGACTTTTCAGCCGAGTTGTGACTTGCATTATGAATGCTAAGTTTAAAGAAAACATAAAATAAGTCCTAACTCATCTACTTTGGGAACTGATAGCAGCATAACGTAGGCATATTAAAAGAACAGCTGTACCACTTCTAATATCTTTCAATTCCGAAAAGTGAATTACAGCGCTATGACTTTTATCTCGTCATAGTGACTTGACCTGTAACGGAAAAAAAAACTCGCAAGCGAAATCACGACGGTGGATGCTGTAATAGTTTCCTATAACCGTTAATATCGCAATGTCTATAAAAGACACTTCGTTTCGTAGAAGCTCGACCGAGAGTTCTTCAGGAGAATTCAGATTAAGTATTCGCCGTAGCTATAAAATCAGTCGATAAAAAAAAGTATCGAGTTACCGAGAGGCGTGTTCCCATAAGGAAATCGATGGCAGGACAAAATTTCGAGCGGGATCCATGTCTCCCGGTTAGACGAATTCCCTCGTTCGGCGTATTTACCAGTCGGCATCGAAACGACGGCACGGCGCGGTGCGGCAAGTGCATTTCGCGGCAAAACGAGCCTCCCGACATCTCGGTGTAATCAGACACCGATGCCAGGGAGTGCTGCAAACGTAATTGAAAACATCCGTCATGCCTGTG